CATTAACAGACAAAGTATTAGCTTGTTAATTTAATATTTTGGTTAATTTTCTGAAAATTTCAACATCTCCATAGGCTTGTTCATTTAAAGGAAGCATTAAAGGCTTTCCGTGTATTACAACAGTAGCAAGAGGAAACCATATTTTGAACATATCTGGCGAATGGTTCGAATCTACCACATCTTCTGCTCGAAATCTCAGTGCTTGTTTGCCCAGGAAAAATCCATAGTGTACTGATGTGAAAATCTAAAACGTTGCACCTTCGAAAAATAAATTCTTGTCTTACTTCAGGGAAGTATTCAATGTTGAACAGGATGATATACTTTTGAAGTATGAAAATATTCAAGGATACCCTGATATGTGAAAAAAAAACCACCGTTACCTCGCTTAAATGTAATGATTGCCAGTAAAAGAAAAAGTAAAGACAGCAAATGTCTTTCGGGTATGGTTTTTCGATCTAGATATGCTAAATAAATTATGAATACTAAACATATGATCAAAAATCAGCAAAAGAATTGGATGATCATTATGGAATCTCATTTTGAAAAATATACCTCTGTGTTTGGATTATAATATAAATCAACTATATATCGTTTCACCAGGATCTGATGCAGCAAAATCGGTGTGAAGGCATACAAAATGAAGAACGAATCCAGAACTATAAAATGCATTAATAAATACCAGAAATAAAAAATCTCTTCATAATGCATTTCGTTATTTTATATCGTTATTTACATTCGAAAATATAAATCAATGTGTAAAGGGAGAATTAGTTATTGATTGGTAGCAATGTTAATATTGTAAAACTTAAAAATACCAATTATGCAAGACGAATTGAGTTTTTTTTAACTCTCACAAAATCAACTTAGACATAAGAATGCAATGTGCACGTTAAAACGGTTTTTAATGTTAATGTATAATAATAAACATGTTCCAAACATTTCATTGCACACGGGAAGCATAAACATTTGGATGACAAAAAGAGAGACAGTTCAAATTACTGACAACCTAACCAGCAGCAAATCGAAATAGATGGAAGCATTCAAGGTGAACTTTTCGGAGACCTACTCATCACTGTAATAGGGATGCAACTGTGCAACCATCAAAAAACACGCTGAGAAATTCGCATAAGAAATAACAATGCAATGATGGGACTAAACCTGCAGTAATAGTTCCGGTTCCCGATTTTCGGGCTCCAAGTTGCGATATTATTGGTATCATAGCAAGACTAACAGCAGAACTGGATAGCGACAACATCTAAAATCAATAAGAAAAAACCAAAAAAGAAAAAAAACTGAAATAAAAAGTTAAGAATTATAAATTGACCAATTGAAACAACATTTTAAAGATGAGAAAATACCAACTTTTGCCGCGAACACCATTTTTGGCGACAGCATTCCACTTTCCTGCACTATTTTTAATGAAATATTCTTGTCACTATCGGCTAGAATTGAATGACCTAAGTCTGAGGCTGAAATCCAACGCAGAGGCACGAATGTTCGCGATATAGCTGTAGAGCCTCGGTTAAAATCCGATGTTTCAGCTATAATATCATAGTTACTCATTCGATAATATTTGTTCTGTATAGTTATGAATGGATTTTTAAGTTAGTAATCATCCAACAGTAATATTATTACCCCTTTCCGGATGCTTCCGACATTCAGTAACAGCATATGAAAATGACGGATGAAATTTACTTCTTTAATGCATTCTCTGCCATATGAATACAAGCAGAAATCATTAAAATATAAAACATATAGTACATAAAAAAGAAACTCTCTTTACCAAACAAGTTGTACACACCCAATAATGCTATTGCATAGTTAGCATAATTTAGAAATGAATAGATCTAAATTTAGTGAATTTCAAACTTCACTCACCATGGTCTGCGCGCACTGTTGAAAACTTCCGTATGCAAATAAACCTGGAAAAGTTACGAAATTTCCTGAAAGATTCAACTCGACGAAAAAACATTCCGATTAGAATTTTGCCACAAATTAAGATAAAATCCTCATATAGCGCTTGGAAGCTATAGCATATGCGTATACGTTTCAAATGGGAACCTGAAAATTTCTTCAAGTAATACAGGCGACATGTCCCGATATGCAGGTCGTATGGAAATAAGATACTTGATAATCCACAATCATGATGATGCCATCCTTCATTACTAAATTTTGCTCGAATTCCTGCACACTGACTCTTTAATCATGTTCTTTTTCTTTTCACTTTAGAAAAATATGCAAAATAAGAATAATTAATAGGTAATACCATAGCATATAAAAACTTTACTTATGGCACGTCTTAAAAAACTTATTCCTGACAAAAAAAGAAATAATTTTAACATCAAAATAGCATAAACAACATACAATATTAAGTAAACAAAAGAATATGATACAGACTACAACTCTATTACAATTTCAACCAAATCTGATTGTTATAAATTTGCCGACTAATAAATAAGAAAGCTCATGCAAGAAAAAAACATAATTCTGTTTTTGCTTGATTTCATCAACGCTAAAGAGAAAAGCTAAAAAGGAACGCTACCAAGAGCATAATAGTGATAACATAATCACTAAACAATTAAACAATAAAGTAATACATAGACATAATTCATTCGTACAAGTAAAATCACATTCAGACAAAAACCTCAACATAAGTGAAATATATCACGGTTAATGTTGTTTTTAACGCAGATCATTCTTGTTTCTTTAAACCATACTATATTTGGTGTATTTCATATGTCATTTTTTCTACGGATGATAGATGATGATATAAACTTCTGCTGAGAGAAACCACAATTATTCATCGTAGAAAAATGAGATTAAAAAGTAAAATTAAAACAATGAATGCAGACTCAGTGTTACAGGCACTACCACTTGTATAAAATAGAATAAGTGAACTGAAAATACTTCTTTATAAATCGTAATGTGGTTCTATCCATTCATTGCTTTTTCTTCAACATATCATTTTTTCGAATCTCCTCTGTCACGACCATCTTCTTTTGCTAAAAATTTTCATTATATGTCTCAAAGCTCCAGTGAAATATGGCATGAAATCCCCTCAAACAAAATTTAACTGCCATTGAAGCTTTCTGATAACCCTGTACATCCATAAATTTTGGATAAGGTTGTAAATTCGCGAACCTTTATCGGTTTCTCCCCCAAGTCATCCATTCCTTTTACTATAAAATATAGATCGGCGAAAAAAACAACAATAGCAATTGCTAAACCAAGAGCTATTCGAAATGCCATATTCTGATGTAAACCTGGATAAACATAATCAATTCCTGAAATACCAAAATTTTTGATATCCACGAAGAAAAATTGAAAATTTCGCAACAATAACGAAAATATTAAATTTTTTTTTTGGAATACAAAAGCTGAGGCAATAAGTCTTGAAATATTATTGAAAAAAATTCAAATACTTCAAAAAATACTTCCACAAATCAAAAAATATTTACCAAAATATCCGAATGAAAATCCACCAGCCACTGTGAGAAGTGTATTGAATATCACCATTAACTGTTTATTTACTGCTTTCATTTCCTTCAATGTAAAAGTGCATAAGAGATGTCTTATCAGTCACTGTTATTTGTTTATTGACACTGCGAAACAAAACAACTTAGATTCAAAGAGTGTATTAATTGTAAAATTGTACAATAACTACATAATCTTAAGACTTCTTGGTCTTGTTTATTGATCATTGAAATGAATTACCATTCGTTAGTTATAATGATATCTCCCAAAATAGACAACAGAAAAGACAGCAAAACACTCTTCAGTAAAAGCAAAAAGTACAAATTTAAAAAAAATTAAAAGAACGTGTAATTTCAAATTTAATTTCAAGTTTCCCAAATAAAAAGTTAAAAGCAAAAAAAAAGAAAAGAAACTGAAAATCAAGCGAAGATCAAGCTTATAGAAAAAAGAATTTTAACAGCAAGTAATAAATTCATACTTCACCGAATCCATGCAACAAGTTTTCATGTCCATAAATCTGATTAGGATCAACTGACCGTACCATTTCACGATATTCACGATCTTCCTAAAACAAACTTCCGTTATCTTCCGAATGATGACCAAGCTTACAAATTAATTACTGGGCACGTAAAAACGAAGCAGTTCATTCCTGAATAAATCTCAAAGAAATAAACCTTACTAATAGCGATACAAAAAGCAATTATTAATTAAAACCATCCTGGAATGTTTTCCCCGTGAAAGTACAGCACTTTTTCAAAGTTTGCAAGAAAAGGAAACAACGAATTACTTTAATTAATCTAAATATCTACCTGTTCTCGTCTCAGCCTTTCGACTCTAGCCTCATATTCGGGATTAACTTTCCTCTCAATCACTGGAACATGAGGTTTTATCCTCTCGACAAACCTATAAATGGGAAATTTCCTGGAAAGAGGCTTCAGGATGGACATCATTTCATCGCAATCAAATATCATCATTTCCTGCTGCAACAAAAACAAAGATGTTATGCAAACTGTCAAGCTTCCATCACAACTTGTTTGTTTTCGGAGAAAACTAAAGTACAGTTTTTCTTTCACCAGAACATGTACTGTATCCTGAAACCAGACATATCCAATGAAGCTCCTAATTTCGAAAATATCCACATCAATATCGGATTTGCTAGTAAAAATTTTACCTTCATTAATCGATTACTACATATTTTCATATCCTCATCACCCAATTCATCCAGCCAGTCTTGTAACAAGTCAACACCTTCTTTCGACACCTCCCACATTACCAAACAAGAATCTGGAATGATTTTGAATGTCTCAAATGGTAATCACAAGGAATTGAATAGCAATGGTAGTATTAGCTGAAGTACAGCATCTTACCACAAGATGCACTGTTCTTGAAACCAGACACATCTGATGAAGCCTCCACGGGATATCCACAAAAAAAACTGTACTTCTCAGATTTAATCAATTGATCCCTTCACAGATACGTCAACAATGCATTTTTTCATTCACCATATAAACAACTAATTATTACTTCAAGCAAATACTTTAATTAGATTGAATCCAGAGTGATTATTACACACATCCTTCTTAAAGACATGGACAAATGTAAGGGAAGGCAAGCATCAAATCTGCATTCTTATAAACTAGTACCACAAGAATACCTGAAAGCAACAAGCATTTCCCGAATATCTCAACATAAACAGGATATCAACCCAAGACTTTAATACCCTTATCAATTTTAGTACCACCTATATCACAAAATTAGACCGTGTTCAAAATGAAATATTCCGAAACCAAACATGAAACTATTTCACCAAGCCTTTGCACAATTATACCCTTTGCAACTAATAAAATCCTTATTTGTAAACATGTAAAGATCGATAACAATTTTTGAAACGCTGCTTTATACCATAACAACTTTTAACGAAAACGAACTTTAATATTTAAAGAAGAAAAACAAACAAACAAACAATGTAACAGTAAAAGTAAAATGACACAATCAGAGGCAATTTGTTTTCGTTGATAAATACGAAACAATATTGTTAAATTTCGAAAATTCTGAGAAACAGTTTGAGAACAATTAAAAATCATGAAACATTAGATTAGTAGAATGCAAACGTCAATCTCGGATACAAATGTTAAATCTGTCAATCCTTTCACAACAATGTCCAGTGAGCTGGAAATCCATATGTAGATGCAAGTGCTGTATTAAATACTAAATTCCAAAGATTCAGATGGCTGGAACATGAACGAAACAGAAAAAGATTAGTTAATTAGATGAAGTCGAAAATATTAAAAACGAAATATATTGATTTAAGACACAATTCACTGGTACCAGAGCAGACCAGACCAGTTACCCTACAACGATGAAATGAAAATACAATAAACACACAAGAGTCACCATAAAGCAAAACGGTAACCCGTAAAAAATTAAAAAATCCAAAGATATCACGCCCTCCATTCCTTATCACTACACTTTATTAAGCAAACGTACTATTTTTCTTATACCTTCAACACCTTCGAAATAAACGACAAAGTAGACACGCATGTTATGTTGAAAAGTTAGAAATTCTCACGTTTCACGCATATGGATACGTAAAAAAACGAGCACTAGCCACTTTTTAAACTTCCGGAAAAATAATTCTATCTAAAACGATTTTGGACACTTAAATATTATGCTTATAAATGGAAGAATTCAATAATCTTAAAGTACATGCCAAATAATGTTACACCTCAAAAGCTAGGGAAAACCTGGATGTTAGGACTCTCGAGAAAAGCAATTTCAATTTTCATCAATACATTTTGGGAAGTGAAAGCTGGACATTCGTTGACTTACATATAATTTAAATGAAGTTGGTAGGTTACTTTGGACCAATAAACTGTTTCAATTACAATCTTTCTGCCCTTACCAGAAATACATGCATAAAAACCATACAATTCTATTTTTCCCTGATTTGAAAAATGGGGAAACAGCAAAAAAAAATAGGAAATAACTATAGGAGATCATTTCTATGTCATCATACGTATATCATGATGAATTCAACGAGATCTCCAACAAAGTAGATGTCCAAATAAATGAAGCCCAATGTAAAATAGTTCACGAAGATCATGAAATCAGTTCCACTGTAACCCAAAAGAAATTTACAGAAGGCAGTAAAATCGAGAAAATTCTTACATTTTTGCTTAAATACAACGCCAAAAGTACAATTTTAAGTTATCCTAAAGGCAGTGCATGAACCGAACAAAAATAAATGTTCGGTAAAAGAAGGAAACAGCCAACAAAACTGCCATAAACGTTACGTAGTAATTGATTAGCAATGATCAGTAATGAATTATAAAATTAAAATTACAGAACACTGTTTTCACCCATATTCTACTAAACTAATACAGAACAACATCTAATACAAAACACTACTAAAAAAATATATATGAAGTTTTGAGAAACCACTACAAAAAGGAACGGTTCTAACTGCCTAATACTTTTACTAGTTTGCTTTTCAGCAGAATTTAGTTAAAGAAATTACACGTCAAATTAGTCAGGGAATTCATGATACCAAAATGCAGTTAATATCAGACAGTCAGTTGGTACTCTCACTACCATCATCTCTATACCCACGTCATTCGGATGTCCTCTAGTTTACCAGTACCTTCTGAAATATCCTAGAAGTATAGCTTGTTCTTTCGCCTCTCTCCATTGTCTGCTTAAATGTATTTCCAGTGGTGTCTCAAATACAAAATTAAAAAAAAAGACCGTTTCAACAAACCATTCATTAATCAATAAATACTGCAAAATATGGAAGCTTAAGTATCCATCGATATTTGAACATATGGACGCTTCATCATTCGATTCCTGGTAGGTGTATCATTTTGTACTTCACTCGCAGCATTCAATGATACCGAAGGTGAAACAGGATTTCTGAATGCATCACAACGAACGTACAACAATATGTACGCTTGTGTATTGTGCAGTTCAGACAGCGAAACTCTGTGACGCTGGAAGAGTAAAAGTTCCAGTCATTATCAAAAATAATGCTATGATGCAATGGAATAAATATATCGGGAACGAATCTCTCTCCAAGTGCTTTAATCAACACTGCTAGGTGTCATAATTGAAGAATTACATTAAAGTCTACAGGACTAAATAAATATATTAATGGTCATGTATATCGATTGCAAGAATGCGTCATATTCTAAAAAAAATTTTTGTGCCCAGTATTGCAACATAAAACATACATGCCATGATAAAGTACTAGTAGTCAGATCAAGAAAAATTATGGTAGACATTGCACGTGTCTTTTTTTTTGAAAACTCAAGTGCGATTATGTTCTAAGTACGATCCCAACATCAATGGTACATTCAGTTACTTTGCACTTTATCAGTAGTATTATCCCAACATATCAGTTCTCAATTTTCTAAACATGTTAAATAAAACGCTCCAATGAGAACAAGAAAAAGGAACCGATGTACGTAACCTTGCAAGCGATATTAACCCTGCAAACCTATTCCTTTTCATGGCGAATCTCTAATACTTTCAGCTAATTTCCTCTTTACTTCAATCAAAAACAACAGGTAAGTTGAAACAGCAGATAAGTTGAAACTTTATGAGAATGTCGATTACACAGAAACAATATCATATATTGATGCAACACATTACATACCTGCTCATCATCGAACAAATAATAGCTTCTACCATCAAAACCTCGTACAACAGCAATATAATGCCCATGTTCCACTGCATTACCCATATGTTGAACAATACCAGTAAGCTCGTAAACATGCGATTCTCCTGTACGATGTATATATTGTTGGAGATCCAGCCTCAACTAAAAATTTAGATTAAGCGTAGCTCTTGTAATCATTCACTTATCCACCATAAAGAATAAGGATATAGCACTACATGCCAAATAATATTGTACTTACAAAGGAAATTATTGCATAAGTTTATACAGATTCTGTAAGTCAGTTATATAGCGCAAGAACAAGTGCATAAATCCCGCCAAAAAGTGAGACAATCACCAAATATAGCAGTAGCAATAACTGCACTGTGACAAGGTAAAGCACGAAATGTTCTGGATTGTTTTAAAAAAGTGAACAGTGTCATGCAGTGGCCAATCGAACCACAGCAACCTTAAACTAAAAGAGTGATCTGATTCAAAACGAAGCAGAACTCATTAAAAGTATAAAGCAGTCACTCGAAGGCACATTGCGGGCTAATGACTGGACTTTTGTAATGTAATGCAAGACAAGTTTTCTTTAGAAACAACATACACTGAAATTAACATGAACGCCTATCTTTCCACCAAACGAATTGAACCGTTTTATTTGGATAAGCAAAAGGTTCGGTGCACGGAGAATACGCGAACTACGTTGAATTTGCGTCGTCCTTTTGCAGCTGCAGATATCATAATTATAGAATATCTCTTAATTACGAAACAACTTACTCTTTCTCGTTGATTATTCTTTTACCTCCTCAACTATTCCGTAATGCACCCATACAATCCCTCACCTCACCTGCCAAAACCCTAATACTATTCCTTGATTTCAAAAGTAATCTTTAAATCCTTGTTTCCTTCAGCTCAACTCATACTTGATAAAATATCATTCAGAAATATATTCCAAGAAAGATTTGTTCTTGAACCAAAAAGAAAAGATACTTGGTGCACTTAAAATTGTTCAACACTTCGCTCCCAAAATAATCGTCGAGTAAATCCTCCAAAGTTAGCCGCCTGTCATAACATGATTTCTTTATGCCAAGGTTAAGTTCCCGAAAGCGTTCGTAATTTATTAGTATTGCGGAACAAGCCGAACATTGAATTTGATTCCGTAGGGTTCCGACAAAAAGTTGTTCCACTGGTGTCAAAAAGCGTGATCCACTATAAAATAAGAACAGGTCAAGCTTTCAAAAAGTCAAAAGAATCTGAATTTCAGAAGGCACCAAAGATTACTAGGGTTTCCAAAACTATTTGAATTATATTCCTGATTTTTTTATATTTTAAGATATTTTTACGCAACAACAATAACAACATAAAATACTTTAATGGATTAGAGAAATTACGATCCGAAGAGGATATTCCATTTCGCGCTTCTGAATCAAGAGCATCCAATATATGATTCAGAGCTTCATGAGCATCTTCTTGCGCACCCAACAAGTGAGAAGGAAATGCCTCTGAAAAGTGTTAAGTAACTTATGAGAAAGTACAAGACACATTTCCGATATTTCTAAATTTTAAGTTTAAAGATAAGTTAAACAACAGGAAATCCTACTTTCCAGAATGAAACTAATCCAAGCAGGCTTGAATGGTTGTCTGCTCGACATTGAATACCTTATAAATCTCGCAAGACCACAAGCAACACAATCCTTCACACCTGTAATTTAAATTTAGTACGAAAATAAACAAATCAAAGAAAGCATGAAATATAAATGTGAAATCAACTTACAAGAAAATAAAGGGAGATGCTCGCCAAGATATCGTGCAAGTGGAATACAATGCAAAATAATCTGAAGGACAGCGTTTAAAAAACAGTCGTTGGAATAGTTACAAAGGCCAACACCGACATTACGACCATCAGGATTCTGAAATAGGGAAAGTTCACATTAAAATTTTGCCGGTACTTTCGCATGAAACTTGCAAACCAAAAATATTTGAGAACAATGAAATCACTCCAAAATGGATATATGAATATTCCCAGTACTATCTCGACAATACACAATTAAAACGGACCAGAACACGGCTGCCTTCCCATGTTGCATAAAATACTACACGATTATTCGCAGGGAATCTGGTTTCCAGTTCGCTGTTTTCTGATATTAATCGTTTCCCCTCGGCTTTACCGTTCAGAGCTCGATTACCCTGAAAAAGTAGAAAATTACAAGAATGTCGCAATCACTGAAGAATTAGAAACCTTTGAAGGATCCTGGATTCAAAACTCAAGTTCCAGAAACAAGAACAAATTTCGGAATGGAATGAAGTTTTTTTTCCCCAACAATAATGGTACCAGTAATTATTCTGCTGCATTCCATAGCAAATTATACAGTATAGGATAAGATGGAAAAATGAAATAGGCCAAAAACCACAGCAAGAAGCCAAAAAAAGAAGCAAATTCAACCAAAACTGAAAAATAACATCTGAAAACTACTACGATAAAAGTTAACCTGAGATTCCAATTTTTTGGTTGGTGTGTGATTAGCATTTATGTCCATGCGTCGTTTTACCGCACCATTCAATACGGGCTTCGATCCTGATGTAAAACTTTTAGATGTGGATGGCCTGTTATCATCGTAACCGTTATGATTTGCAAAATCAAAGTTAGAGTCAATGCGAATTGGAGGAGAGCTGAAATTAACACAATAAATTCAACAATTTATATGATTTCAATGTAACTTCTTTATTTCAAGTAAAGTGCACCGGAAATTAAAGTAAATAACAGGCTGGAGATAATCGAGATATTCCAACTACCACAGTGACTTATGAGAGAAATTAGAATTAGCGTGCATGATCAAATTCATCTTTTAAAATTAAAACCTTACTTAAGCCGTCTAACATTATTTGTGCTATGGAGTATGTCTCGAGCAAAACACTTTGTAAGTTTCGTCGCTCCATCATTGGTTTGCACAAAATGTGCATTGTTTAGATGTTTTCCAGTAGCCTTATGTTGAGAGTCCGTGGTAGCATGACTTTTTGGGGATTGGTTGGTGGAATTAACATCTACTGATAATGCACTGACAGTACTGCTCATACTTGAGCTACGCGCTGACGACGTAGATGATGAACTAATTTTAAACCGTTTTGCACTGAAATACATTCAATTTGTTACATAAGTTGCACACCCTTTCTTAACCAAACAGTGCTGTAGCAAAGTACCTCCTACGTACTTCGACAGATAAAGCAAAAAAATTCCTGATGTTTCCTAATATATAATTTCCATAGCGTTTAAAATGTGATTTCAAACATCAAATCATGTCAGACATAAAACATCAGCGACAAGTTTATTAAATCAGAATTGAAAGTTCTTCAAGACCTTATTTCCGCATCAAAATTTCCAAAAAATTGCAAATTTTTCAGATACATTAAAAAATCGTTTTACTATAATGCTTCACTAATCACACCAACTCCTGCTGTGGTGGTAATAAAATGAGCTATAGAATGAGAAACCGACAAATCACTGATTACTAGAATCCGATACTAGGATATGGGTGTTTGTCTACTTCCCAGACAAGACGCTTGAAGTTTCTGATATATACCCCACACATAGAATTGTACTACTGATTTATCAGTATTAAATCGGCGATACTCTTCAACCTTTTTCTTTCTTCGCAGCTTTTGCTCTTTATGACAAAAGAGTTTCATGACAGTTCATGACGTGACAGAAGGGTTCATGACATGCATGTAAAAATAACAAAGAAGAAACCATCGAGCGGGTGGCGAACGTGGTGATGACGAACTATCACGATAATTTGTTTGAATCATACGTAATCCTGTTGAGTCATATGGAGGTGGCACATGATTTGAGGTTGATCCTAAACGCAATGTCTCAATAACTTTAAAATTTCGAATGTAATTAAGTTCATTTACACTGATTCGATAACCATTTTCATATCATATAACACCTAGCTCTGGGACTTGATACAACTCTTACGAATTCTACTGATTAAATTTGTTGCCTTTTTAGATTGTAACAACGCATACAATAAATCCGTATTCCATCTATGAATTTTCAGGTATTTTAAAATTTCTGTCTCAATAAATTCATTATTACTCTTTTTAGGGTGACAAGGTAATTTTTAAAACAAAACAGTAACAAATGCCATTTTTTGTTAAGAAATTTAAAACAGACCAGAATTAGCATTGGAAACTGTTTCGTATCCCCGTTCACGTTCAACCGTTTCGCATGTTCTTGACGTGCTTTGTCCGGAATTAGATGACGATGAATTTAGCACAGTGCAATTCTTTGCAGTAGATCGCATCATTGATTGTTTTTCAAAATCAAGACTTTGACTAAAATAAGTTCCATTTAGCAGACTCTACTAGAAAAAAAAAGCAAGAGGGAGAGAGAGAAAAAACATCATGACGACAACTTATATGCAAGAAACGGATATTTACAAGTGGATAATCCGACTTTCTTATGTAAAGAGGGTAGAACAAAAACTTGAAAAGTGAGGGAAAGAACGCCAACACAGGAGAGATGAAATAGGGGGGCAAAAGCAAAGAAAAAGTGATGAATGTCCGAACTAAAAAAGTTCGAACTTCTTTTCCTAACAACAGTTACGTTTATCAATTTAAAAGGACCTCCAGAAATTAGTTATTAAATCTTTATAAAATTTCATTTTGTAGGGAATGCTTAAAAAGCAATTACCGTACAAAATACTTTCAGGATGCCCCAACCATCACTATTCCAGTCGGTTCCCTTTTTTCATTTATTTGCCGATCAAAGACTCCCTTCTCCCAGTCGACAAATGGCCTCATATGATCATCTCATCTACTGATACCACTAAAACCAATGCTAGTTTCAAGGGAAACTTTCATGTAACCTCATTCAAACTTCCGAATAGAATTCCGACCGCTCACTTTTCCTTCTTCCTTTTTCTCTTACTGTTTTTCCATTCAGTCCTGCTGAGACGAGCAACACCACAAAGAATGAACATCTTGAAGAATGAAAATAAGGATTACCTATTCCTCTTGGAACATATTTTCTCTCTTTCTCTCTCTTGCACTATGTAAATTAAACAGTTCAGTTTTGTATGACAGGATCTCCTTGTTTAAATGATAGAAATGTTATTCAAATCTTTCTTTTCATCCATTTTCCTCTTTTTTTTTTTAAATATAATGTTCATTTACTTAAAAGATGAAAATATTTTTTCAATAAATGAACATTGTATAAAGAAGTATTAAGCCTATAAAAATCACATGTTTTATAAAAAATTTTTTGAATTACAATCTACCTCCCATCGGAATTATCCACATAGAATATGTTAAGAAATGGAATAATACCTCGATTTAGCAAATGGAATATATGCTTCAATCAATGCAATGGGATCAATTTGCGCCATGAAACGATAGAAAAGCCAACGACGATTGATGCCATACAGAAATCAATCACTTTAAGCACCCACACAATACTATTGCATATACAATTGCTGTCGCTTGTTTTTGTCACAATACCTGCATTACTGATTAGGGTTGCTAGGGATAATTGGAATTAATGACTTGCACAATGAAGTATAACTACAAGGTGTCATGAGTTCTCCCGAAATCAGATGATGACGCCACCTTTCCATCTATCCCTTAATTGTGCCCCTACCTAAGGCCATCAATGGACCGGAATTCCTCGATATTTTTGGTCAGTATGAAGTAGTGTATTTCTTTGTCTGCCCCAAACTTCGGGAATCACTTAGTTAAACCACGTTCCTCCCAAAAGATTCCAGTCTATTGGTATATATAGTCCTTCACGGCAGAATCTTTAAGGGAAAAATTATTAACCGAGCGAGTCAAGGAACATCCGCGAAATCACCAATCTAGCATGCATCAGTAATGAAAGATTATTTCCCGATGAAATATGTGCAGTTTGCACTAGCATGAGATATGAACTAAACCTTACTCGACGTTACGACGAATAAGAAATGATTACGTAACATAAGTTAGGAATGATTACGTGATGTAGCTAGAAATGACTGGGTGATGTAAGCTTAGACTTTTGTTGTATGCAACATACACAAACAAATAACTGAGGAATAAAGATCTATTTGTTAGGCAGTAAAACTGGAAGTATTAGATTCTATTCCTTTCGGACTCCATGCTGTCCTCACAACAGTACACATACACGTTCGACAGAGATTACGTGAAGCAGGTTAAGTAAAAGAATAAATATATGCCCACACTCGTCTGAATCTTTGTCGTTAGCCGCTCAAATAAGCGAGGTCATCAAACGTTTTCGCTTCGAAACCTTTCTTCTATCTTGAATAATATTTACTACTCGAACACAACATCCATATTAATTGTGACGATCGAAAGAACTACTACTTAGTTCAATGACTGAACTCTTACGAGTTCAATGCGACGTAAACCTGAAATTTGCGTTATTTACACACGATATTGCGCTGCAATAGTGGCACTTCGCAGGTCACCGTCGCCACATGCGAAGCCGCGCGACATTGTTGCGTTGCGGGTGGCGCTGCGCAACTGCGTCGTGTCATGGGAGGGAGTTCAGTTGTGCGAGGGGCGGGTCAAATTTATTCCGAAACATAAAATATGATGGGGTTGGCAAATGCAATATAAATTCACGTTCCCGCAAGTTTGAATTAAAACTTGCAGTAACTTTGCCTTGCAGCAACCCTCCCTAAGTTTTCGCGCAATTAGTTTTGCCGGATTCCTTTCAGAAATCCAATCAAAATATGATTAAAGTCATTCCGGTACATAATACGTAGCACAACATATAATGCAAATCTCTCAGAAATCGCCACAGTGACAGACAAAGTGTCAACATGGACATACCGTGATATCATGGTGTATGTGGGAGTTTATCGGAATGCTGTATTGTAAAAATGTACTGCGCGGCAAAGTGTGGATTGAAATGAAGTTGAAATTTGAATTTTCAACAGCATTATATATTGCGTAGTTGACGAATGCAGCACAAATTTTCAAAAAAAAAGAGGATAAAAATCTTGACTTCATGGAGAGTTCTATTTCCAAAAATGATTTCGAAAGTTCGTTCTGTAGAGGTGATTGGAGAAGTTGGTTCTCAAATGAAACCTTGATTTGGAAAATGAATAGTTTCAGTCCTTTAGATATTCAAGATTTTGAAATCCCTAAAAGGATTATTGGGATAATTTCAACCCGAGAGGTTACCAGGAAAGTATGGTTTTTGACGATAAAATTTTCGAGAAACTATTAAAGAATACCAATTTAACGGGAGGAAACAAAGGTAAGGATTCTTGAAATATGGGAGGGAACAAAGGTAAATGTGTCTTAATAATTGCAACATTAGGGATTCTATTACAAAAGTTGCTTTGGGAGTTACCAAATTCATGGAACTCGAATGAAATGATTTGTGTCTGAAAGAAGTTAAAAACTATCAATTTGGAGTGAGGCAGAAGCAAACTTAAAAGGTAATTTTTTGGTAATCCAAAAATACAAGAGGATGAGAATCGACTCTGGAAGTCAAGATCGATTAAACTTCAGGTGACTTTCATTCAGAATCTCTCCAAGGGAAAGCAGCATCGTCACTCTGCCTTAATTTAAGGAATGCATAAAGCCCGAACACTCCACCGTAGGAATTTACGCAGAATTAATTATGCTTCTGAATCACCGATACCAATCTATTTCTCGAATACAGTTGATAATTGGATAAGTGAAAATTATCACGAAAAACGTAGAAGTCTTTCGTCTTTTTTTGGCATTTAATTCATTCAACCGAAAAGTCAATAATTTATATTTCTCACTTACTGCGACAAAATCTTGTACCAAGTACACAATTTGCAGAATAATTACAACAATTAAACAAGGCGACAATAAAAGAAATATTAACAGGTTAAAAATTGTTTTACTAATTGATGAGTAAGAGATCCCTATAATCAGAAATGACCATGTAGTAATATGGAGATAATTAAACATGGCAGTTGTTTAGAGTGTTGGAAGTATATAAATTTTGTTTGCACACCACAACGATTACGTACTATTCGTTCTGAATCAATCATCTTTAATAGAAAATCATCAAAGGTTTGGACCCAAAACCTTTGTTTTTCTAGGCGTTATAATTTAAAAAAAAAAAAAAAAAAAAAAAATTAAGACTCTAGGTTCAGATCAGGAAGTATTCGCTCTGAACCAGTCATCTTTAAAAAGTATTCTCAGCAACCAATGAAATGTGCCGAGAATTGTAACGCTTTCAGCTGACTTCAGTCTACGGAAATGGTCCAATTCTTTCCACCATAAAGCCTGTCAGGGAACCTTGCTTCGAGGTTATAAAATTCTGCCTTATTCATTACTTTCACCTAATATCATCGCTAATCGGTGATTAATTCAATCATCTCCAACCTTTTTCACAAAGGAAATGCTTCCAAAATCTTCCAAAGGTCTGAAGTTCGCTGAATCCCGAAACAGGATTTCTAAGCAAAGGGAATGAGCAGACATCTTATTGGCAAAAATATGAGTATTATTGCATTTAGAATAATAAATATGTGCTTGGGTATGGTTACAACAGTTTAAAAATGCATAACCGAAAAAATGTTACACTAACTACCACCATCCTAATATATGTCGAATAACCGAAATTAAAGCTATGTTCAAATAAAATTTCCACAATATCTAACAGACAGGGTGATGAAATCTTGTAAGTAAAATTAAAGCAATGAAGAAGATATAAGCTAACATATAAGCTAACAATGGACTGCATAACACAAAGATGTCTCAATACCTACACAATAGACAATGCCAAAGGGCAGCAACATCTTCATGATAACCCAATGGAGCTTACAAAACTCAAACCTTATATATAAGGAAAAATTCAAAGGTCGTTTTCATAACCGAGCAGACGGTATGTTCTCTTCGCTTATTCTCCACGACTGAACCACGAACACCGACATCTTCGCATATCCACAATCACTGGACAATAAACTACGATATTTTTCCTATTCGTCTGAATATATTTCCCGTAACATATCCCCAGTTCAACGACATATCAACTAACTGACAGTCAAATTATTATCGAAGACAACGACAAGGAATGTGTTAGTTGATCATATTGCTTGCTTTTGTATAACTCATCACTGCTTACCAATTCATCGTATAATATATACATATATATTTTTCACTCCTTTTGTTTTTAACTAATAATATTGTGCAAAAACAATATTACATCCCGAATAAATCTATATCGCTGAGAAACGAACTCAACCGATTAGCTTTCCCGACAATATGTTACTAAAATAAGGGACTAGAAAAACAAATAAGCAATTGAGATATAGAGATGCGAAAATTGATACATTCGAAATTTTCCGAAAAATTATAAAATTTTGAAAATGTAAGAAATACATTAAATCAAAAAAATTCAACTAATTATCACTCCGGTATAAAGGTATGCTCTTGGGTCCCTATTATAACAGCGCTAGAGCCTGAGAATTAATTGCAATTTCTCCTTTTTGAATATATTGAGCTGAATTTCTCATAACCTGAAATCTTACAGTTTTAATATTCAGTATTTCATATACAACAACCTGATTTTATATAAAATTAACTAGCAGATTATAGCGGAAACAGTTAAGCTACGTAAACTCAAACAATAAATGCCAACTCTCGAAAAGCCACTAAAAATTTTATAGAACATACTAATCATTACATCATCCCCAAAGGATAATCCAAATAAATTTTCATAGACCGAACGCTTTATCTACTATTATTATCATTCTTGGCAAAGCAGGTGTCGAATATCTGAATGCATCCATTTATGCAAACAGCTAACCTGATCTAATCGATATAGATAATTGACCATCACACCGTAACTACTTTCCATTCCTTTAATGGTTGTATCAGCTTTCCAATTCACTGCATAAATTTCCGCACCATTTCGCAAATGAAAATTTTCTAAAATGATGCAGAATTTCTGCAAGATTTGAAAGTCCAAATAATTCAGAATTTTAAATTGATTTAAACAATTTTGAACAATTAAAGTAGTCTAAAATTTTAGGGCAACTAATAATAAGAAAGAGGAAGGGCGGAAAAAATACCGATATATTACGGAAACGAAGTCTAGTGAATGGCTAAACTTAGTATCAATGTGCTGGAGATGAAATTCAATTTTAAAAAGAAAGTAAAAGATCAAGTCAAAAGATGTGCCAACCGATAATTAGCGAGTTGTTAACTTTAAAAAACTCAACGATAAATTAAAAGTATAATTTAAACCCGATGACCAGTACAATCAATACAAGGTAGTGGAAGGGTTATTCACCGTAATAATAGTCATATCTGATTTATTGCTTCACACAAAAGAAGTACTACCACACATACAATAACAGTAACTTGATTAGTCAGAAAACAGGAAAACTACGAACCGACAGGATCAAAAACACGTCCTGCACCAGAACGTTTTACTTCCAGCAAATACCGAACCGCTAGATGCAAAAGGATCTCGGAAACTTCTTCATACCTGTCAATAATTTTCAACATTTGATGAAAAGGAATAATGTCGCATACAACACTAGAATTATTGTGTTTGTATATTTTATTATTGTTATATTGTACCATTTTCATTTGTATTTTATTAATGTATGTGTAGTTGTTTTGTTTGTATTTGCATCTCAATTACAAATAAAAACTCAGACTCCTTTATAAAACACCAAGATTTAAGAAATTTGTGTTGACAGCAAATTCTTCACTAATATCATTCCTCGACGCAATAAAAGAAAAATAAGGTATACCGAACACAAATTTTCTATATTCATCTGCCTCAAATTCAACTTTTTCTGTTTAAGAAATATACTTTCAGTACGTGCAAAGAACACTATTATGATGGGCAATCATTCACATCCCTCTTTTGAAGGAACGATCTTTATTTGAAAAGAAAATTTTACTCACTTAGTGACATTAATCTTATTCAGATGATCCAATAAAAACAGTCGTACGAGTTCGACTATTTTGATGTCGCCTTCAAAAAATTCATTTTCCTCACACAATGCCAATAACCTTTCATCAATTACATCTCCTGGAATATTTAGAAGACAATATAATAATTATTAACTATCATTCCCATCGATTCGATTAGTTTCATGCATTCTTAATCTTTTAATATCCATTATGCCACACGTCCACGACACATTACAGCGCCATGACCCAAGGCAGGGAAGCGATTTAATATCGCTACCGCATGCCTATTAGCGTAGGTCACTCTAATAATACAACAATATCCAATTTCATCAAAAACCCGGACGGTATGATTTTAAATCATCAAGACTTCGTGACCATTCAAAGAAACGCATTCTCCATTCTAAATTAACTATCCTGAAGAGAGTCGTCACTTTGACTTTCTCAATATTTGAGGTGGTATTTGGAATGTTTCAGCTTATGGTAATTGCTTTAGTTTCTTATTTTCAACCTTATATTAAAGATAACGACAAAAAAGAAAAAGAAACCCAGAAATAATTCAAACATTTTACCAGATGGTGCTGCACATTTAAGGGACCGTAAAAGCCAAGAACGAAAATAAGGCATAGGTGATAAGGTCGCAAATATGCGTATATGCGGATTGGTGTTTGAAATCTCAGCAATTACGCGTTTTATCAACATATTGCCCAAATCGATACCACGCAACCCTGTAATTATTGTAGTTGAAGCGAACAAACAAAATGAATTGTGAATATTTTTCATTGTATGCTTATATTTAGAATATGATCGATTCTCGAGGTCCGAGACAACCATTTGAGCTAAAACAAAAAACCCTTTCCTATACCCTCTAAAAAACTCAGTATCATCATTGAAATGTGACGCGGAAGAGTAATCGGAAATAATCTGCAACTGGACTGAAATTTCAAGACAGAATTAAACTTGAATTTTCTTGTAGCTAATCAACAGCAATAAAAATATGATCAGATAGAGAAATATCTGTTAATACATTACCATGAAATGTCAATGTTTGGTGCCAAAGATGTGGTAGAATTGTACGACCAGTGGGACTAAAGACCATTCTAATTCGAAAATTAGTATTATATTAAGTATAATCTGGAAATGATATAAAGAAGATAGTATAACCGGCTTGTGCTGATGATATCGAATAAAACATAGCCGTATCACTCGCATTTTCATCTTCAAGTACATCGGTGCCATTCATTATATCCTAAAGTTAATACGTGTTGTCAGTCCACTTATTCCTAATATTCTCTAACAGAGAACTACTGTGTTAGAAAACAACTGGACTGACAACGAATTATACATTTGTTTTGAATAAAGATGTTTACTGCATAGCCACTTTGTCCCCGCCACCATCACAAAAGACAAAAAACGAAACGATTTCATTACTACCATTTAAAGGCTGCTAAGAAATCCACATGCAAATTTTGAAAGAGGTACAGTTGTATCTACCGTCATCGGTACAGGATGACTGAGAAATCCTAAACATTTGATACAATTTGCTTCGGTGGTTTACGAAAATCATGGTATAATAGAAACTCTATTTAGCGAATTAGACTCAAAGACCACAGTATAGCAAAAAAATCCTACTAACTTCAAGATTTTTGGCGATCTTTTTCATAAATGCAGCGTAAACAACAACCAGCGGTTCACGGGCCATGGCTTCATGCATAAACACAAAGCAACGTCGATTAGGACCAAGGCGACGTTTCATATCTATCAAATCGGCCATTGGATAAACAGCTTCACATTTCATAACCTAAAGAAAAAGAAAATCGATGAATAAATACACAGCTCACCATTTTGGCTTACCTAAAATGTTAAAACAATTAAATGTCATGAAATTACCATCTGCAATTGTATTTTGTAAAAATTAACAAACAGAATTTCAAGCTTTACTCAGTAAATAAAATTTGCAGACATAACCACTCGTTAATAACGACATGACAGAAACTTTCCATAATATATCTTGAAAATCAGAATTTAGTTAAACTAACCTTGTCAAGAATATCACCTGGTGATTCAATTGTCAGTTGCTGCAAACGCAAATTACTTTGACAAAACCAAAGTGTCAATAATTCACGAAGACAATTTTCGACGGGTCGTAACGCTGCACTTTCAGTTCGCGTTAAATCCAAAGAACGAAGCATTTCCTGCAATTCACAAATGAGATTATCAATATTGTTTAGCAGATAGCCAAAATCCTAATTTATATCATATTGTATTCATGATAAAGGTAATCTTTATTTATTACTGGCATAGCTTCTCTTTCAAAGGAGTAAAATTTGGAGGATTTTTCGATTGAAAAAATACAATAACTACCGTACGCACCAAAGCATCAGCACGCATAGCACATATCTTTTTCACACCGCCTGCTACGTTACCGATAGATTGAAAAAGTCGGAAATAATATGGACGTGATGCTGAAGCAACATTCATAAATGCTTGTTCGTTCTAAAATGGATGAAGTTTTATTTTTTAATTAAACCAATCATCATCTTGAAAGCAAAACCCATAACTTGAAAAAAAAAAGAAATATTTGCATCCCGCATAGCAACATATGCGAATACTAATTTTTTACTACATATTTCAAAATTATATCACGTCATTTATACATTTATCCTTTATCTTACGGTATATACCATTTATCCTATATCTTATAGTCGTTTGGTCCTAAACTTTTTTTCTTTTGATTGTACTTGTATTATAACGCTGAACTAATGAGAAAGAACTGCAAACCTTATGGTAGAGTTGGATGGATCGTTTCAGTACTGCATGATCTACACCGAAATTTTGCGCAAGTTCGACCAAAATGGAACGTCGGTGCAACATCGATGATGCAAAATACTTTTCGATTAGCTGTTCGCCAGCATCCTGTAAAAATCCGTAATCTGTAAAGTCGGGATCATTGGAGCCAAGCTGGTGAGAATCACTGGCAATCTAATCGAAAGGGAGATAAAAAAAAAAGCTTTCAAATTAATAACAAAACCTCTCAAATATACGTCTAACTATAATGCACTAAAATAACTGGATCAAGCTAATTGATAAAGGAAAAGAAAAATACAATTTCTAAATTCCAGTCTATATTACGAAACAACACGGTTCTTTACCAGGAAAAAGAAAAGTTCCCCTGACATGCACATCTCTTCTTCAAAAATAAAACTACCTACACGCCACTGATCGGATGATGAGTGCGGCGTAAGATTGCCGTATATGTCTCGAACAGTCGTTGAATTAGCTCGATGCCCTTTGACCGTTATACGATGATGGGAACCGAAAGTAAATGCGAACAATTTTCTTATAATATCATTCCTTTGTTTCATCATAAATAATGCACTAAATGCAATTGATCGATTAAATATTACAAAATTGAAATGATACATTTTAAATTATTCCGTCAATCATTACAACATCGCTACACTGATTCCGTACTGTTTCCATGTTAATTCCAGCTGATTATAAAACCAATGAAATCAGTACCGATCCCACGTATGGACAAACATTTACTGCTAAGATAAATAGTGCATGAAAAGTAATACTGAAATTGAAGATAAGGAAAACTGAGAAAGATCATAATCATTTAACGATGTCGATTGTTTCTGCGACTATTTCCGTTCTAATCTGCTCACAACAATCCAACCCCAAAAAGTTTAATTACAAAAATGAGAGTGAAAAAACAGCCAATCCCTTATCAATAGGAGATATTTCATGAATGACAACATCAATAGTTAGAATTAAATCGTACAGAAACGTTCTGATAATGATTTGTTTACCAGTGTAACTGGATGTATTTCGACTAAATTATAGAAGGCAACCTGTAAAAGTGGAGTGTTGTCAAATTATATGAGTTGATCATTAAGAGTTCGTCATACTTCCCCCATGTCGTAAAAATCTAATTGATAGCAGTGAATAATACTGTTTTTCAGTTAAATGAGTGATAAACCAATTGCGAGCTTTACTTTCGAAGTAGCTTAACAGTTCAGCTATTATGGCAAGGCCTATCATTATGATGCGGATGGTTGACGAGTTACTAAAACATAGAACCTTAACTTCATTGAATGGTAAACAACTTTTTTGCCTATCATGCGTAATAACTATGTAATGGTAATCCGGTATGCTCAGCGAGAAGTATGACATAGCCTTAGTGAACAGCATCTACCTGATCATCTTTGAGGGCAGACACTATGCCACTCCATGACTGAGGATGTCTTTGAAATTATTCTCATGCAGTAACATGCTAACTTTAATCAAAATGCGAACAGTAAGCTGTAGATCACATATCACGTGTGACAAATGATGCATCAGTAATCAGCCTGAATGATAATTGAACATTTAACAAAAACATAAGAGTAATTAAAGAATAGCCATACACGGTGGTCCTCAGCAACGACAACAACATGATAACACAGATTATCCCACAAAGACCCACAATGATTCACAATATAAGCCGTCAATAACAAGTGAATATTACAACATGGAATTCATTACAAAGTAACATGCGTCCTCTTCCAAATAAAAGAAATTTCTACTCTGTTCAGTAGAAATTTACGATAGACATTAAATCTCAAGTTTTCTTAGGACCTTCAGCCCTTTCCATATATTAAAACATTATGATTATGAACTGAAAGTCTGCTTTGAATTCATCATAACCATGCCTTAATAACGGTAAACACTTGCAAAACAAATTAAAGAAATTTAACACAGGATATAGTACAAGACAATTTTCAACGATTTAAATCAGGTATATGCGCTACTTTTCTAGGTTCGCGCGTACCTGTCACAACTGATTTTACTTCACTAAAAGAACATGGTACCATCCGTCCACCAAAATCACCAATACCGCTTACAACACCCAATTCATCTTCTACGGTACTAAGCAAATATGAATGCTGATTATCACCAAAACCAATAACACGTGCTAAGATGACATCACCAGGATGCACACATTGCTCTAGTTTTATCTGAAAAAAAGGAAAAAAAAAGTATATCAGGTCCATTTCAAGGAACACCATCAGAATTACTACAAATGCGGACAAATCATGAGTTTTGTTTTATGAGTTATTTTTTTTTTCATTATGAGTTTTGTTTCACCACTAATATAGTTTTGTATCATTGCTAATAGTCGTCAAATTATTCCGTTTGCTGCGCTTACCATTCGGCCTATCGACGATTTTCAGTTTTAGTTGGCCTATATGCCACACTCCTTCCCTAGACTATTTAAAATTTTCGGGAAGCACGAAAACAGCATAGTAGGCACAAGTTTATCCAAGAGTGAAGAGATTAATATATATCTATTACTGAAATTTGTAAAATTTAATAATTTAGTTGATTAAAGAAAATTTCACTTTCTCTTTCTCGATGGGCATTATATCTTCTTTCCTCAATATTCCATTAAATTCGTGAGATAAAACGGAACATTCCACGCAATGTATTGCGCATTTGGCAAATCTCTGACCAATGTTTTGCACCTAAAAATACAATTCTCTAAACCATGACATTAAACAATTTCATTTCTTCCCCAATAACTCCTTCAGCATCACTCATATTCAAACCAAAAGCAAACACTTCGTATGCTTAATGACACAATGTATAGCGATGAAAAATAACCGCTCCACACCTCAAATTACAGCGTTCTTCAACATCGACATTTAAAGGGCTTGAAATCGTACAAAAACAGATATTACACTGAAGTACATTTGATGTTCAATTCAAAACCACCAATTTTTAGATTTCTTCTTCTACTTCCTTTTCATTTCAGACTCAAGCTTTCTAATTTCCTTAACCAACGTAAAAATTTAACATCAGGGAGCATAAACCTTTGCAGTTACAATGCATCCAACATATGGCATGATATGTCGTTTCTCTTTTTCCGATTCTCGTCGTACTTCTACGATTTTCGTTTCTTTGTCACGCTGTAAACTAGACCGCATGAGTAAAAGTATTATTACTTGAATTCCTATTCTGTTCAAAATCTTCCAAACTTTCCAACTTTTGAAAAGAAAGTAACAGCATTTTCTGGGCAAACAACGAAAGTGTTACCCACTCCAAATGACAAACTTGTTGCAGACTGAAACTTTCTCCCTGGAGAAAATTCCCCCATCTATATTCATGCAAAATTTGGAAAATAAACAGATGACCTAAAAAGTTTTTCAAGATTTTTCAATGACACTAAAGAGCTATGAATTTGAGAAATGCCTTTAAATCAGGTAAATAACCCATAATAGTATGCTATGTTCTTAGCTGATGTCAGCGAAAGTGATAAATATTGCTTAATCTTGGAAACACACCAGGCTACGATATGGGAGCTTGATGTATGCATGTCGAGTAAATCACTTCTATGCTTACATGAAACAGAAAAGTTTACCTCGACAGTTGTATACATGTGTAGGGTACCAGCTAATGATGCATAAATATGCCCGAACAATTCGTAAGTACCGATGCCTGCTTTCAGCTGTTCACTAATGGGAAACAGTCGATCACCTGGTATCACATACTTGCTGCATCCTTCGCCTATGAAGCATGTATTGTTGCTGCTGTCACTGCTGCTGGCATTCATCTAAAATATTCATCCTAAATTTATACGGCATATTATGAATGACTAAAAGTTAGTAATACTTATGTAACAGTACTGGTTAAAGATTGACAGAATATGAAAACGATTGGAAAAATGTTGGGTAAAAGTAGGCGGTATTCAGTGGTTCGATTTTGAATAACTGAAAGAATAAAATTTATAAATTCATTGTGAAATCCACAATGAATTTCGAAAGTACTGTAGAGCAAAAAAGTTGTGCTGTTGAGGTAAAGCAAGTTAAATATTTATTTTCAGCAGAAACTTCAAAAGTTGATAAGTTGGAAAGCATTATTTCTGATTAACAGAGAATGAAAGATTCATCAATTACATATGAAATGAAAAGTGAGAGAAAACAAAGGGATCTCGATCTTATCAGGATGATGAGAGAAGAAAAAATCATACTGAGCAATGATATTACAATTTGTCAACAACAGAGGAGATTGTTTGCAGCTAAAAAGATGTAAAAAATTGGTAAGAAATACAATATTTCCATAGATTAAAAAGAATTAGTATACAGATTAAAGATAGACTAAAAATTCACCAATCATCAAGACAATGATTTAATCCTGTCAATAATTATGTTTGGTTTGATTAAACAGCGTTTCATTGGATTACACTTTGGACTGTGGTCGGTGATCTAATTTTGGAGTGAGGCCAACAGGTCATTGGCAAAGGTAGTGGGTTGTGTTGTTTTGTCGTGTGTTGTGTCAGGCGTAGGGTTGTTGGGATTGGCATAAAGTTGACGTATTGTCAGAGATATAAGAATCTTATCATTATACATCTGAGGGAGGTTATGGTAATCGAATAAGAAAAATCATTAGTATCCGGCAAAGCTATGTCACCTCATTTCATTAGGGTTATTCCAATCTGCAAATTTTGAAATTAAAAGGTTGAATAAGTTCTTAATTACAGCATTTGAAGTTGTATGTCATATCGGCATGGATTCCGCCATGAGCGAAGCGGGTTGGTGGATTTGACACGACATGAAACAATATTACCTTTGAAGGTGAAGAAATTCTCGTCTGTTTTTTAATTTTCATTTAAAGTCACTTTTTACATTTAATTCATTTCTGCTGACAAAAAAACAAATTTTACTAAAAATTGCCATATTAATACTGTTGGATAATTTTTGTTTCTAGTAGTTTTCTTCAATATGGTTCAACTGGGAATAGGATTTGATTATTTTGATTTAATAAACTGTAAAGATGTCTCTTTTAGTCTCTTCACAGTTTATATATTCATATTTGCTTATTATGCTTTACTTTCCGCAGATAGTGAACTTATAAAGCATCTGTGGATTACAGATTACTGTTGGATGTGATGCATTGTCGTTGCAACCGCCTCCACCGCCACCACCTCCACCACCACCGCCACCTCTGCCAACATCAACATCTTCAGTTTTACCTGAGCCTCCACTGTTACAACTAACAGCAAGTAGTAATCCATTTATGATAGGTAATTTCATTCGCAATGCTTATACATACGAAAGCATATATTTCAAATGCATCAGCAGGGCCGCTTGCCTCTTCAAATTCTCTATATATATCTTATTTAATTTATTTTGGACAATGTGTTGTTATTAGTTTGCTCGCCCGATTTTTATGAGCTATTTTGGTTGATTCACCTTAGCTCATATATTTGATATGCCAACAATGTCCCAAATTTCCACAAGGAAATATGTCATCAAGACAACAAAGGGTAATAGTTTGAAACGCAGGTAGAAAATACTTATGTCTGTGGTGGTCGTAAAATTTCCGACGACTGGAACCATTAATGGAATTGGTGAGCGACCAATTGTTATCAGTTTCTTCCTGGATCCAATGCTTGAAGTTGAACGGCATCGTCTCATTTTTGTCGAACTGACGGAAATAATTTTAATAATTTTTGCAGGTTCCTTTTGGCAGGATACACAACAGTTTCACGTGCCAGTAACTACTGCGATGAATAAAAGTTAGTATACTCTGTAGTGTAAATCTTTTTTTATATTAAACATCAGTGATTTGTGTTGATAATGTTTCATTCCACAACGTCATGTGCTCTTGATCATTTGATGTCAAATCTCAAACGTTAATTCACTTGATTTCTTTGACCTACTGCAATGATATTGTTACCTCTTCATACTCCCGATTCATATTTGCGTTCTGTAGTTCAAATAACAATGTTGGGAATTAAATACTAACAAAGATAAATTAGCATCTTACTTTTTTGTTTGCCGATAAAGCTTTGTTTTAATAGTTAGGCAAACAAACAAACAAACAAACTTTTATTTGTCTAGCTATGGAAATAAAGCTTTATCAGCGAACGAAAAGCAAGTTGTTCGTTTATGTTTGTTATTATATCTCTATACATGTATAAATACCCGACTGAAGCACACTGCTTCAATTCTTCATTAATTTGCAGTCAAGTACTATGAATCATTATACGCATCTAATGTGGGAATGTTCCGCAACAATGCAATAAATCGAATAACACAAGCACATTCCGAACCGAAAACTTACGTTCGTTTAATTGACTCACCACCACCTCCACCTGAGGTAGATTGTTCGGATATACATAACAGTGAAGCTTCTTCTGCACTATTGAATCTAATTTGCGTATCAGTTATTCATTTTTGTATCATATACTGCCCTGATGAGTGTTGCAGCGCGGCAGTAAATACCGTGCATGATTTCTACGGTAATTATGTCCCTTTATGTGCAAAGAATCTGTTTGAACTGTCTTATTTTCAGCTTGGTATACCGGTAAAGCAAACTGCCATGACATTACAAATTACCAACTTTAGCATAGGTTTGTAAAGCAAATTTTCTTTTCTTTTTTTTTTCTTTGGATGCTCATATTGGCTGAAATACAATATTAAAATGAAGTGAACATGGAAACAGAGCAGCATTATAGCGTTTGTATTTTTGTTTAGGCGTCGATATACATATATATATATATATTCTAAGTTTTGCTTCACATGATAGTTATTTACAGAGAGTGATATCCAGCGTTCTGAAAAAGTTATCCTTCAGAATGGACACCAGGTTAGATTTCTTTCTGTGAGGATTAGAGGGCTTTTGAATCATTGCGTTTATTAAATGGCAAATTATAAATGTAGTACACCTTCGCTTTCTGCAGCTCTTACGAAAGTAGTGACATTGATAACCGGTTAATGATGCGTTAATTAGCCGACTGTAGGATTCTTAACGGGAGGCTGAGATAAAAGTTAATGGTACTTTTCCAATTGGTCTTGCTTCTCCATAACTGAAGCTCGAAATCTGCTTATTATGCGACATGTTATTCATCTGTTTCTTACAGGTAATTCAGTCAGATGATCTGAGTGGACAGAATCCGAAGTTCATTACTGGTAGCTTTTATTTTTACAGTTTAGATCTGTATTGTATGTTTTTAAAGAAGTCGATTTAGGGTAAGGAGGAGCATTAGAAATATGTGTTAGTGATTCATCTGAGGTTTGAAATTTTCGGATCACAACTAGCATTTGAAAATAACAAGGTTCAGGAATTGAAAGCGAGGAACTTGTTCCGAATGAAAGCAGCCTTACCATACGATCGCAATTCAGGGGTAAAGTATTTAAATTACCGGAAAACTGTGGTCGCCCACAATCTTCAGAAGGACGTACATTCCCATTGAAAGTGCGAAGTGACGATATGAATTATGATAGCAGTGATTACAATGAATCTCAGCCTGAAAAAGTATTCAATTTTTGAAGACTTTCTATTAAAAAATTATAAGTCATATCAGTCTCTGGTGTGCAGTGCTCAAGACGTTGCATATGTTGAGTTTTTTTTCGAACCTTCGTTGGCCTCTGCTGTTCTTAAGTATCTTCAGAAAATGTTTGCAAGTGTTGAGTAAGAAATTTTCACTAAGCAGTTAACATGATATTTAGCTTATAGCTATGTTTATAGTTTGGTCTGCTTGGTTTATCTATTCGTGTTATCTGCAGAATTAATATTTCAGTCAACAGCTATGAACTGTTGTAATTAATCACCCATATTCCTTTTCAGGATTCTTATCGCAGTAGTCCAGATTTGTCGTTAAAGCTCATATCTATGAAACGTTCATTACCTCTGGATCAGGCTCCAGCTGTTATTCGTACTGCTACCAAAATTGTGCGTAAAGTTGCTCATCCTACGCAGAAGATTCTGGCTTCAAATTCCGTCATTACTAATAATACAGATTCCTGTATGTTTATGAACCTGTTACCTTATTTAGGTCCCACTTCTCTGTATATGACTTTTCTTTATGTAATGATTTTCTATATTTGTTATATTTGTTTCAGTTAATACCACTGTGTCTACTCACTCGAATGCGTTAGTTGTTGCACCAAAGACAGGAAAACCGACAAAACGTATATCTTCTAACGGGACAATGTCAAAGAATGGCATGTCGTGGAGGAGACGACAAACAAATGAGGGTTTGGATATTGAGGATGAAGAACCTGTAAGTTTTTTTATTTTGTTTTTTTTACATTTTTTACACTGTATACATAAACGTATCAGGATCATGAATTAGTGTTCCTCCTTTACTGATTTTTATTATTTGATTTATGTAATAATCTGTTATCTATGTGTGTGCAATTCATACCTTACTCATGAAAGCCTATTTTAACAGACTGCATCGGCGCACAATGTTCCATTTAAAATGCAAAGGATAAATCGTCGGCTTCGTAGGATTAAAGGTGAGATTAAATTCTTAATACCACTCCATTTTAGTGTGAAATACAGATTGGTCTTGTTCAACAAGTTTCATTCTTTCTTGATAACCGAACTTCATTTCCATTTTTTTTCAAATACTATTTGATTTAATATTTATATTTTCAAGAACGAGTTTTTAAAGATAAACTGTATACGGAGGCATCTCACGAATGTTTCGAGTTTGCGGAACATGGTCATTGCTTAGCTGGTGCCTTTTGTCCGTTCGATCATGACGGTGATTCTGCGCACAGGACGACAAAGATTTGTATCAAGTAGAGTTTCTTTTTTCTTTGATTCCAAATAAATCATACCTGGTAGTTATCAGATTTATTCTATCGTCAAATTCATTGCGTCTTCTGGGACTGACTATATAAACGTAAAGAATCAGATATAGATTCGCTGATCATCGCGTATTAATTTTAGATTAATGACGGGTTTATGTCGTGGTCGTTGTGGACAGACGCATTGCCTTTCCTCACATCAAATGCCAATCTGTGATTATTTTTTGCGTCTTACTTGTTCCGATGAACACTGTCCATATTTGCATGTTAAGCATGCAGCTGGTAGTAAACCATGTGAAGATTTCAATCGAGGAATTTGCAAAAAAAGCTCCAGCGTAAGTTATTTAAATTTCCTATCTACCAACTATGAGAAATGTGCATCATCATCGGTTAAGGAATTTATTGAGCCTGAGATACATTTGAACTCTACTTCCATTTTAAAAAATTTTTACAAACATTCTAAGATGTTAGGAAGTTTTTCTTAAGTTGTAGGCCTGTTTGGCAATGATGTGAACTTTAAATTGAGGGTGCTACTTGTTGATTCCGTCGGTTGAATCACATGCATTCTTTGAAAGATGTCTAATCTTCTTTCTGAGCCATAACGTTAGCCAAAAAATAAACGACATGAAAGAAAAAGGTTGGAGAAGGAAAAGATTGATGTAAGGAATTTATGAGGGCATGTTCCAGAAAATTCTTTTGTAGAAAGGATGATTATCCATCTACCGCATTCTCCTATTATTTTGATATAATTTATTAAATATTTCACGATGTTTGGAAATTAGGATTTTCCATGTAATTCTGTGCTGTTTTCTTGATGAATTTGTTATTCAACTGGCGCAAAATTCATTTTTTTGGATTAAATTTCAGTGTTCGTTTCCCCATCGTTATTACTATTCGGTGGTTAAAAAGAAGTGTGACGGACTTGAAATGTCTAACATATCCCAAGTGCCTCTACATCACAGCGAAGCAGTTAAGAGGTTTCTGATGTTTTTTGTGCATATTTTAAGTTGGATATAGGAAAAGGTTTGAAATTTTAATCTAATCGGGTAAAAAGTTGAAAAAGTTGGACTCTTTCATGGATGCAGTTAATTTTCTTTCTTTCTTCATTTGCAACTGCCTAGAACTGAAATAAAAGGCATTTTTTGATTAATAAATGATAATATGCAGCGAAGAAAGCGATGATGAAAGATGCGGTGTAGATAAGAATTGTGCGTTACAGTGGATATTATGAAATTATGAAGTAAGTTTTTGTTTGTTGTTTTTGTAATTTCTGCATAAATAATGTAGAGTTGCTTTTTATCTCTTCATATTTTTTCTTTATAATTTGGAAATTATATTATCCGTAGTTCTGATGATGCAGCTGAATTTGATTTTATCTTCAGAAAAATACTGTCATCGTAAATCATCTAACCATATTTGTTGAAAATTTTCATCAAATAATGCTTATTTAGTTCAAGCTGTTTTAGTTGGTAATCATAGATTTATATTTTTCAAAATATTCGTGTTCTAATTACTAATATTTCTTATTTTACAAATAGCATTTCAGGAATGAATTAGAACTTCTTCCTTTTATTCGGTAAATTTCAGTTTCTAAACATTTTTTTTAATGATATGTAAATTTTTTACTGTTTTTTTCTGTCCTCAGCACAAACTACTGCTCAAACAAAGATTCTCAAGCAATGTTATAAACTTGTAAGCAGTCAGGTTTCAGGTTATTTGACTGCTGTCTATTAAATAGTGACATATATACTTTCTTTTTATCGCAATTTTATTTTTCAACACGTTATAACATATATTCCATGAAGGTGGCATTGCTTTCAATTTTTTTAAATATTTGAGTGGAGTAGTTGACAGTGGAATGCCGCTCGATATAATGGAATTGATCTGAACCAAATAAACTAAGCAGTTAATCATAAGGAATGGGTTTTTTAATAAATGAGTTTTTTTTGATTGTATTATGGAAGAAAAGCCCCATCCTGGTAAGTTTAGAATGGCTGTGGTTAGCTGTGTTAGTCTTTTCGTAGTATAGAGGAGTAGTGCCTTGAGAGTGAAAGATATTGGTGATGAAATAATTAAGTCGTAGCAGAGATTTTTAGTACTTCTTACAATCCAATCGTATGGAAACCGGATGAACATTGGATAATGATTATTAATGCATTATCCCTAAAATTTATGACTGTCAATTGAAAGTTAATTAATGGACTAATAGTTTTGCTTTGTTTATCTGTTTCAGGGTTTTTCGGAAGCATAATTTTTTTCGGGAAATATCCGTAAGTACGAGCGAAGCCAACATAACATCGTATTCGGTAAGCTTGTGCGATTATGTTTCTGGTCGGTGGTGCTTATAGAGGTGATGTATATGTATATACATATATACATATATATGTATATATATATATATACATGTTTACATATGTATATATATATGTTCTGAACATGCAGAAAGCTTTCCTCTCTTTTTCTTTCATTAGTGCCACATAGTAATGTGAAAAAAGGTATTGAAAATGTATGGTTTTGAAATTGCTTAGTACCAAAGAAAATAGAAATTGTGTAAAAACTTGTTCTTTGCACCATACACGATTGATTCACATACAGTCTCCATCTTTTCTTATCGCCTTATCCTTCCACATTGCTGTGGACAAGCAGAATGCAGGAAAATGCCTCGTGAAACAAACATCATGCTGTCATCTTTTAAGAATTAGCTAGAACGGCTAACTAGGGTAAAACGCAAATGGAATAGGGACATCAACTGTGTATGTTTGAACTGTACTTTGTGATATTTTTTATTATAGTTTGAAAATTAGTAGTCTATTAGAGGGGAAAACATGGGGCTATCATTAGACTGTGGGCATTATCCTCATTAATTTTAACTCATTAATTTCATGGAAATGATTGTTGGAGTCGCTTTTCATCTTTCTTTGTTTCTGGGAGATAGCAGTAACGGTTCGACTTTTCCAAGTTTCAAATTAAAATTAATTATTATATCTCTAAGACATAGCCGAAATACCTCTGAGTGGATGGAGATGGTGTTTACGTGTAGGTCATCTGTTACTGCCTAATATATCAAAAATTTGCAAATAAGAAACTTGCTTGTAATTGCTTGCATCACGAAAAGATCTTGGGTGAAAAGGTCTTCTTTTTTTGGTAACTACCGGGCAATTGCCCCGTAGTGCCAGCCGCTGAAATACGTGCAAAAAGAATGACAGTTGTTAGGAATTTATTTCTGGGAATACGGTTGCTACTGGGAATTGTAAAAAGAATGTTGCTGGAACTTGAAGAAAAAATCCTGTTTGAAACATTTCACAATCCCACATTTTAACTAATCTTAGTAGAAAGATCGTACAGATGTCTCTCCAAGACTTAATATACTGGAAAATACCTAAAAGATCCATCTTACAAATGGTTTCTAAATAGTGCCTATGAACCAAGTGATACAATAACCTGATTACAATTTTTAAACTGAATAGTACTGTACGGATGATCTCCATTTCTTTGTCACATCTCTAATGAATTTATGGGAATAAGCGGGGAGATTCTGGAGGATTTAAATTTTGTAGCTTTCGGGAATTTGGTAAGCGATCAAATTTTATGTCATAATCTTGTAAATTCCAGCGATTAAAATGGTAGGTAAAATTAAGTAGCCGATATCACTAACGTGTAATAAAAATATTGTATCCGATAAAATATCTGATGACAAGCTATAACGATTCTTTCGACATAAAACGGTAAAAGGTATGATTTGTCTTCATAAGAAACGTAAAAATGGATAATGGTTATGAAGTAAAAATAAGGGAATGGGAGCAATTTCTTAAATGATATATGTACAGAATTTAACATGTTGGATATTGTATCTTATGGTGTATGACAAATGAAACCTGAAATCTCATTAATATTTTAACCTTACATCAGTAATAATATTGAGTAGTAATAGAAATATTGATTGAGACAAAAAAAAAAATCACTGAAAAATATTGCAAGAAATAAACATGAAAATACTGAATGAAATTGGTAAATTTACTTCGAAAAAAGATGGATGGTAAAAGCTTTCATTGGTAAAGTTTTAATTTTAGTAAAAGGAATTAAATAATGGGAATGTAAAGTTTTCCCAATTACTATTAAAATCTCTTTAGCTTTGAGCAGTCCTCAAATTTTGGCTAACAATTTAATGGATGTGTTTCAATAAAAAATGAAAAATCAATTGGAAAAGCAAACAGAAGCGGGCGGAGTTTTCACTGGAAAATAGCTTTCTTTTTCAAAAGATTACTTATGAATAAGGATGATAAAAGGTATAAGCTGAGCTTATAAGACAGTTCCAAACATATCGGATAAGAAGTTACGTGAGAATGGGGCGACGAAAAGGCAGGATATTATGGATTCTGATTGTATTCTTCAACATTTCTTCAATCCATCCTTCATTCATCAATGGTTTGTTGATTTAATTATCATTTATTTTAGCATTCTTTTCCCATCTCTCCATCTCTTCCACTTATTTCTCTTTTAATTATCACTGTTATCATTGTCGTTTATATTTTTGTTATTAATATTACAACTATCATTATTAAATACTATTATTACAGATAGTAACTATCCGTATTATTATTGTTATCATTACTATTACTCATTTTTGTTAAAACTGTAATCATTCTAATCATTATATGATTTATATTTGGATAAAGCTTGATGTAAGTTCTTTCGTGATGGGAATGTTTGATGAGACTTTTGTTTTATGATTGAGTAACTTACTTATAATTCTTCAAAGGTATTTTTAAAAAACTTTAAAGATACTTCAAACTTTTCAAAAAGATACTTAACCGTTCTATCAAGACGACAAATGTTTATCACACTCCTCCGATATGTTTAGATATTGTGAAAGAAATACCTTCTGGTATACTGTATATGCAAAATTTCATAATTGTAATTCACTTCAACCAAAGCTTAGTTATTTATTAGACAATTAATAAAATTATTAGTGCAATTAATAATTAATAGAAATAAACAGGATAATTTAATTTTTTGTCGGAAAGTAATGAATGAAAAGTGATGCATTCTCTTTTGTTTTAGTGTAGTTGCTGTGAAGTATAGTTACATCACTTAGAATTCTCAGGTTAATTAAATAATTGGTAAATGAGACACGTAATAGGACGGAAAAAAAATAAAACTAAGAAAAAAATTATTCGAAATAACTCCGGAAAGACAGAAAAAAGGCATCTAAATAATTTCCGGAAATTTGAGAAAAATTTTAATTGCTTTGCTTCACATAGAAATGGTTGATTTTAAGAGCTGCTACTCAAATTTATCGTGCATTAAGTTTTGAAACAACTGACTGTTGAATATCCATGAAAAAAAATAAGCAAAGAGCATTTGGTTGAAATTAAAAAAGCAAAGATAAATGTATAAAGTTTCCGGAAAGTTACGATTAAAAGACTAATTTCTTCATATACTTTATGGCCTAGGCCTCGATCGTATTTTTTAAAAATTCAAATTGCAATCTTATCTAGATGAGATATTAATAAGCATTAATTAATGCCTTAAATAAACTTATATTATTGCCCTGTACAAGTATATTATAATTAAATAAGAAAGTTATGAACAACAGCAACAAAAAGCATGTCATTAAAAAGTCCATTAAAATATAAATTAATACTTAATTAATGAAAAGCTAGAAAATGGAATGACAACCAGCAATTTCGAAATTACAAAACTTTTGGAAAATGTTTGGGAATTTCGTAAAGTACAATTCTACTTACTAAGAATATATTTTGAACAAATAAATTCTTCTAAAACTTATTCCGATATTTATTATTATTGAGATTAATTATCGAATTCTAAAATTCATCCTTTTTTTCAGTTTATTTGAAAAAAAAAAAAGAAATATTCTTTTCTTTTTCCCCTTTCAACTATATAATGAAATCATTTATTTAACTTTATCGTTTATTAAATAAATTATTGAAAATGAAATAAAAGTTAGTGAAATACTTTATGATTTAAATTACATCGTTAAAAATGTAATAACCATAAATTCGTTACCTTTTGCTTTTCATTTCTTCTCTCAAATAAACAATCTCTCATCGATTAACGATGTTTTATTTAAAAATAAAAAGAAAAACTTTAACAAATCACATTTATGCGATTAATGAAGCTTAATTAGGAATGTTTTTTGATCGTTTCTCTTTGTGCAGAAAAAAAAAAAGAAAAAAGTTCTATTCTATTTCTAATAATAAATTTTTTAAATTAAAAATAAAATACAGTAAGGGTGAAGGATACGGTTAATATTGCAGAAAAAAAGGTAACAAATTTTTTTGTTATTTTTAAACAATTAATATTTCGTGAAGTGTTTTAAAATAGCATATTGGTAAGATTTGTTGAAATTATTTTGTAACTAAAAAAATTGTTGAAAAATTTTATAAAACTTTTTAAATGTTTCAAATTCAAAAGGAAAGAATTTTGGATTTTAACGAAAAAAAAAAAAGATTAGTAGTTTTTTTTTCTTTTTTTCAGAATCAGCAAAGAATCTTACAATAAACGATGGTAATATGACTGTACTAGAGATAAGTGATGCGATAAAAATTGATGAAACGCTTATGGACAACATGACATCGTTTTTTAATCCTACAGAAGTAAACCTGATTTTATATCCGGTTATTAAATGATAGCAATTTTTGCTAATTATCAACAAGCAATACGTATATATGAAACATTCGAAATGCTTACGAGTATTTTATGGCTAAGAGAGGGAGAGAGAGAGAGAGAGAGAAAAGGAAAAAAAGATGTGAAAAATTTTCTTTTTTAAATAATTAAACAAAAGACTTTTACTAAATAAAATTAAGTGAAATAATTAATTTATGGATTAAGTAAAATTCTATGGGACATTTTATTGTTCAACAGAAATGTAAATATATTCAAATTTCTCCAACATGTAAAACGTTTTATTTGTCCTTTCCTAGATATATATTATGATAAAATAATTTTATAAAAGTAATTCTTTTTTTTTTCTTTTCTTAAATACTTTGTAAATTTACTTATGCATATGAAAGTATTCATTAAAAAGTCACTTCATTTTTGAAATTTTTCAAGTAACATTTTTTTTTTTTGGAACATATAACTATTTAGGAGTTTAATTCATTTAAAGTATATAATGAATTGCATCATCATAAGAAATGAATATTCACAACTATCGATATGATACGAGTGATTTCTATAATTTGCTAACTTTCAAAATTTATCATTTTCTCAATTTCTTTCCTTCCCAATTTACAAAATCAGAAATTGAAAAACCGGTCACCAACACCGGTTTTTTTTCTCTACTTAATGTTTCATACTTCTTTATTCTATTTAGATTGAATCACTTTGTCTTCGAATGCATAACAACACGGCGTTTATGGGCGTTCAACCAATTGCGCGTCTTGTGCTTTATTCAGCTAGTGAATGCCGCCGAAATTGTGTTGATTTGTATCCCAAATGTGCTGCGGGTATCTTATTAAAAAAATTTGTTAAAATTTGAAAAAATCAATTTAAATTAAAAATTTAAATTTCTAGCGCAATTGATAGTACTGGTAGTAATGATGCAGCAATAATTTCCCTTGGCTAAATCAAATTTATAATTGAGAAAAGAAAAAATTAATTAACAAGTTAATTGATAAATTAAATGTATAAATAAAAATTAAATGTGTAAATTAAAACTATGGATATTAATATTTTCATTTACAAAAGAACCTTAGATGATGATGATAATGTTG